AACCATTGTTTGAATTTGCTAAAGTTAATATGAAACATCCAAAGACAAAATTTGGTGATAAGTGAACTAAAAGTTGTCAGGATTCATTTGAACAGCTGAAAACAGAGCTTGGATACTTGGATACGCCGACTTTACATTACCATTCATTGTTAAACTGATGCATGTTAACATTGACTAGGAGCTGTGTCATCTCAAGTGCAAAGTGGACGTTCTGTTGTTATTAAATATGGCAGCAGAACTCTTAAATTTGGCCTAATGAACACTCCGCCAAGACCATAAGTAACCTGAAGCTTGAACTTTTAGCACTAAAATGGAGTGTGACGGAGAAATTCATAAACTATCTTCTAGGAAACAAGTTTGTGGTACTAAAAGACAACAACCCGTTGAAATACCGTTTGTCAGCTAAACTTGGTGCTTCTGAACAGAAATGGGCTTCCCAACTGGCAGATTTTGATTTTGAGATAAAATACTGACCGGGAAAACAGAAGAGCAACTCAGACGCATGGTCAAGACTTCCCATGAAAAGTGTTGATGTTCTCAGTGAAGGCATTCATGGATCTATTGTTCCTTTGGATATTAAAGCTGCGCATTCTTCAGTGTTATTCATTGAGTCAGCTACTGTCATAAATGCAGAAACATTTTTTTTGATATTCAAAGGATTAGAATGGTGAATTACAAAGAAAAGACGCAGTGATTTCAAAGTATACGAATTTTCTGGAGATAAACACTGTTCTTTATTCGAGTTTTTTCGAAAAAACAGTACAAAAAGTGCACGTTTTTTTAAGGTAGTTAAAATCCTTGTATTTTTCTGATGTTTTTATTATCAGGAAGATCAAAGATCCAAAATTCGGAGAGCTTACGCAGATTCTACTTCCAGAGTGTATGAAGGACTTAGTGTTAGAGTGTATCCATGATCAGAATGGTCACCAATGTTATAAAAGAACATTCAATATGATTCCAAAGCGGTGTTATTGGCCAAAATGTTTCTGAATATTAAAAACTTATGTAAAAAATGTGACCGTTGTGAAGTTTCCAAGATTTCACCACCCAGAGTGCATACCATCATGAGACACCTTACAGCATCAGATCAACCGGAGTGTTTAGCGATAGATTTTTCTGTGTTGGAAAAAGCCCACGGATTTGAGAATGTGTTAGTGATCAAAGATGTTTTCTCAAAGTCGACTGTTGCAACCACTATTGAAATAACGACCACTATTGAAATAATTATATCAATAGTGGTTGAGAGTGCATTTTAATAGCAACATAGTTAGTAACCACTATTGAAATACGACCACTATTGAAATAATTATATCAATAGTGGTTGAGAGTGCATTTTAATAGCAAACATAGTTAGTAACCACTATTGAAATACGACCACTATTGATATAATTATATCAAAAGTGGGCGAGAGAGCATTCGAAGAACAAACATAGGTAATAACCACTATTGAAATACGACAACTATTGAAATAATTATCAATAGCATTTCAATAACAAAATAGGTTATTAACCACTATTGAAATATGATCACTCATGAAATAATTACTTCAATGGTGGGTGAGACTGCATTTCGATATGATGACCATAGGTTTAAACCACTATTGAAATACGAGTAATATTGAAATAAATATTTAATAGTGGGGATTTCAATATGATGACCATAGGTTTAAACCACTATTGAAATACAACCAGAATAGAAAGAAACGTTTCCCTGCGTAATTTTTAATTTTTTATCCAAAATTTCGAAAAAATTGGATTTGGAGTGAAAAATATATAGATTTATTATTAAAGTGCATAAATTAATAAGGATGGTTTTAGTGAGGCAAAATTTCATTATATTCTAGAAATTTATTATTTGCATCATTTTCAATTAAATTAGACCAAAAATTATATACACCAATCCAGGCATCCATATATTTTTTGTATCATCTGTTCTTAAATGAAGATTTCGATAGTTATTGAAATAAAAACTTCAAAAGTGATTTAAATAACTATTTTGATAGTTGCTGAATATACTTCAAAACAAAAACCATAATTTATTCCATATTGAAATCTTACTTTCAAAAGTGAACATTATTTCAATAGTGATTGCAACCTATGTTTCTTATTTAAAAGGAATCTCACCCACTATTGAAATAATTATTTCAATAGTGGTCGTATTTCAATAGTGGTTATTACCTATGTTTGTTATTGAAATACACTCTCAACCACTATTGAAATAATTATTTCAATAGTGGTTGTATTTCAATAGTGGTTACAAACTACGTTTGCTATTGAAATGCACTCTCAACCACTATTGATATAATTATTTCAATAGTGATCGTATTTCAATAGTGGTTACTAATTATGTTTGCTATTGAAATGCACTCTCAACCACTATTGATATAATTATTTCAATAGTGGTTGCAACAGTCGACTCTAGCCGTTCCTACACGAGATCAGACAGTCCAAACGGTAGCCAGAGCGTTAGTGAACGAGTTTTTCTTTAAGTTTTGAGTTTGTAAACGTTTACATTTAGACCAGGGAAAGTGTTTTGAGTTATTCAGCTACTGTGTACCCTTTATCGCATTAAAAAGACAAGAACGACTGCTTACCACCCTAAATGAAACGGACAGTTCGAACGCTTCAACAGAACGCTACACGATTTACTTCAACCTTTATCCCCGGTGAGGAAGCGGAAGTGGCCAGGATAAATCAAGGAGCTCGTGTTACGTACAAAGTGACGCCTCATTCATCAACTGGATATGCATCTTATTACCTGATGTACGGACGCGACCCATACCTGCCGATAGATTTCCTATTCAGACAAAACACTTATAATCCAACCGACGATATCAGTTTAGACTGGTGGATTGAACTTCATTCGAATAAGTTTCAATTCGCGTACAACAGAAATGTTGATATGTTTTTCTCACATTTTCATATATTTAGTGTGCACAGCAACCTAATAGAGGGTAATAACTGTAATAAAATATATGTAGATAGCGAATAGTACTTAAGCTCAAAAGTACATAAAACAATAAACTGAATAGAAGCAGAGCTAACTCGAACATCAAAAAAAATCTGCCAGTTGGTGGAATCAAATGCCATGTAGTAGTAGTAAGCATCCCCTGCCGAACGTTCAGTTCCCTCCATTTGCTCCTTGTCAATATCGGAAATTAAAAATCTGACGTCATTTGAGGTTGTAAATTAAGTTGTTAGTGTATACTTAAGTGTATTGACGAACATGCTTTTATCCAGATATTTTAAACAATTGCTTTTAAAATTGCACGTGCATAATTTTTTTTCCTTACGCAATTTTTAATTTTTGTAGTATTTTCTAACATAGTTGGAATTCAGCCAATCAGAGAGATGGAAATTATTCAATCATAAAATAGTATATCAGTATACCCATAGGAGCAGAGGTATATGAAAAGAAATAACTCCGCAAACTTGTCTGTTTCTATGCGCATTTTCAACATTTTCCTACAAGCCAAAAAAAAAGTTGAGCCTCACTATTTTGAAGAATCAGATAATTGTTTGTTTTTTTCAACTTGCATTTCAAAAAAGCTGAATTTTAATTTCATTCAGCGTTAAGTAATGACGAAAAATATTCATAAAATTACAAAATTGTAAAGACAGTTTACTAAAAAAAACCACTCTTAAAAAGCATGACATAACATTAGTGAAATTGAATTGCAATTCTAAAGTAAGCATATTTGACAATTCATATTAAATTCAATAAAATCGATATTCAAACAGCAGTAAAATATAGATTACGTAACAGCCAATCATTTTTCAGGTATTGATTAAGGTTCTGATTTTTATAATTGGCAGTTATAGGACCATTCGGCAAAATTTTACAGATTCACAAGAACATATCAATTATTTTTTTTTGTTCAGAAAAGAAAGAAAAACAAGAAATGAGCAATTTGTGTACTATCACTTCAATTGTCGCCTGCGTAGCGCTGTCCGAAGCTACCATTTTTCTCAGAAATATATAGCAAAACTGGAGTTGAGTAATAAAATCTCAAAGTACGAGTTTTTGGGAGAACAGAATTCTCATTCTTTGACCGAGTGCGCCGCGAAGTGTCTATACGCATCATCTTTGGTTTCAACTCGCAAACGAAGAAATGTCGTACACACAAAAAGGTTTGCTCATCTAGGATGACTAAGGAGGAAGGCTTCAGATACTACTCTCATCAAAGTTATTCACTTACCGGTTGTATGTATAACTGTTATTATTTCCATGTTGAACGTATAATTTTTATTTGATTATCACTTTTATGTACAATTATCTTTCTTCCCGTTGAATGTATGACTGTTATCTATTTCCCCGTCGTATGTATAATGGTTATTTTTTCTGTCTGTTTGCTTTTTCGGTTGTTTGTTATATAAGGTCACTCTTTACAATTTTTCATAAACATTTAGAACAACACCACTTGCCGATTTTGGGCTGCAAATGCCTATACTAGACACTTTAACGGTCATTGAGCATTGATGGATCTTTTTTTCGTGCAAACACTTTCTACCACACGAAACCTCGGTTTATACTGTCTTATTTTTATCTCCATATTCTGTACTTACTTTTAAATGAATTCCTCTTTAATATTACTGCCAGTTAGAGATACAAATAATGTCTGAATAACCGACAAAGTATTATTTTTACTTAGTTTCTTTAATTATATGTTTAACAAATCATAAATTTGATACAATTAGAAAACCAAAATAATTTCAGGTAATGAGAAAGAGCTTATCGTTATCTACATTGGAACTACATCAAAGCACACAATTTATCTTTAATAATTAACCTTAATGAATCTCACACGTATCCTATTAATACCTGTATTTGCATCTCACACGTGTCCTATTAATACCTGTATGCAGAAAAACGATTCAAGAATTTTTTCAGCTATTCCCTTAGATTGTAAGGATCTTTATGAAGATGGCAATACAAGTTCTGGTGTGTATAACATTTACCCTGATTGTACCATTACCAGTTCTGTCCAGGCGTTCTGCGATATGACGACAATGGGCGGGGGATGGACGGTGTGTAGTTCATTTCAGATTTAGAAGCACATAAGATTACTCACATTCAGTATTCTTGTTGTTTAAAAGACTGTAGAATTCATCAACATTGTTCCTACAATTGTTCAAAACAGTGAATTGTATTGCTATATCTGTTTATTTTTAAAGGCAATTCAAAAACGAGTTACCGGACCCCTCAGTTTTGACAGGTACTGGACGGAATATAAATATGGTTTCGGTTTACCAGAACAAGATGTCTGGGTTGGTAAGTGTACATACTTTCAAATAGGGACTCTCATTCACTTCAAAATAGACAACATTTCTTCATTGTTACAGATAAATGAATGGGAGCGTATCAAAGATATTATCTTTAAACTTGGTAATATGTTTTTACAATTCTCTGTGATCGTGTCCGTTATTTCTCGATCATGACAAGGAGCACACGGCTGATGTGACCAGTAAACAGGGGATGCTCACTTCTTCATGGCATCTGATCCCCTCTGATGTTTGAGAAGTCAGTGCTTGCTCTTATTTTGTATTGTTTAAGGACTTTGATATTGAAAACTGTTCGTTATCTCAATATTCTTCATTGAAATCTTAAATTAGAAGGACAGGGAAAGGATAAAATCGCTCGAGGGTCTTTGAAAGACACCATATTCAACATCAATATTTACAGCTTAAAATAATTTGATTTCTTTTTCATAAATGAATATTTGTATCTAAAATAATTTTTCTCTTGTAATGAACTTTACACTTGATTTAAAATATATCTTAATACAGGAAATGACTTTATCCATCTGTTAACTAAAGACAACTCATCCCTGTATGTGTCCATCACTCTCCTGAATGGTACAACGCTCTATGAAATGTACGACCGATTCTCTGTGTCCGACGAAGCAGGGAAATATCAACTCTTTCTTGCAGGACCTGCCACGGGGACTTTAGGTAAGTGTATGCAACTTAATTTCTAAAAAAAAAAATCATGTATCTTTAAATTGAAATATTAAGTTGTTGTATATAAAGTTAAAATACAATTTTTTACTCTAATATTGTATAACGTTTTAATAAATCGTTTAGAAATTTCACGATATCATTTGTACATGTATGTACAATTCACAATTTCCAAAGACATTTTATCAGTTATTGCTAGGTAGTTGATTTTTTTTTTCTAAAAACACAGACGATCATGCTGTAAAATCAAATGTATTGGTAACTAGCATACGCAGTAGCTATCTTGGTCCGCCATTGTTGTTCGGGCTGTTTTCTTGAGAATTTTTCATGATTAACATTTTTAGCTTCGAGGGAATAAGAAGTTTTCAGAGAGTTATCGATATCACAAAATGTTCATGATAGCTTGATGTAAAAAAAATGATTTGGAACCTTTACACTTTAACATTACCTAATTTATATTTTATTCCTTCTCCCAGCATCCTCAAAATATCAAGGGTTTGTGATTTCAACATTTGTGTGGAGTTCGAGAAATCACAAACCCTTTGACATTGTAAGGCTGTCTTCCCCCTTAGTCACGCATTTAAACGCATATAGCATTAATATATTCTTATTTTTTAACGCAAACTCGCGTCTGTACCATATCCCAGCAATAACACTTCTTTCAAAGAACAGCGAATCCTCAATTTAATGCCAATTTCTCTTTTTTAAACTTGTTAAATTTTCAAATTAAAAGGTTATCATTTTATTAAATATATTTCGTAGTGTTGGCAAATCGGGCGATTTTTAGTAATCGGGTACTCACTCAATCTTCCGATCGAGTACCCAGTTACTCGGATAATTTGATAATATTCATATCTATCATTTATTGTTTTTTTTTATTCTTAACTTATCCTTAGTGATAAAACACAGATATATTGTGAGTGAATGAACTTTATTTATAAACTTAAAGATACACTCACAAGCAAAATCTTGAAAGAATTATGATATAGTAAGCAAACAATTAATTTCATCGTAAGAAAACTAAATATTTAATTAATGTTTCACGCTATTTTTTAATGACGGTTCATCATCTTTTACTTTGCGATCCCCGATATATATATATCACGATCAAGGAGAATAATTATTTGGAAATTTTAAGTCACAAGCCCACAAGATAACTCCAATTCAAATGCTTTATCGCTTTTTTGTAAATATGTTATGTAATATCCTCTTTGTACTATTTTATACAGTTTATGAGAATAAAGTCTTGTCTTGTCTAACTTACATTTTACAGGTATCGAATCAGATGTCCTCTTGAAATACTTCCAAGCCATACATGTATGTCTTGTTGATTTATTTAATGAGGTAATTAAAACTCGGGTATAAAAAATTGTATAACCTGATGGCAATCAAAGCTATCAATTAACTGTGAAAAGTAATCAAAAGAAATCGATCGTTTAAGTGACACATTAGATCATAAAGTCTAAGTGTAAAGAAAACTTGAGAAATGTTTATGTATACGCTTATTAACAAATTAACATTTCATTTTTTTTGTTATCTACTATATAAGATGCATTTTTATCCGAGTAACCGAATAACCGAGTAATCGAATAGAAGTTTTACTAACCGATACCAGCATCGTTCAACGTTTAACCAGTTAACCGGGTACTCGTTGCCAACACTTAATTATTACGTCATAAGTATTAACACTAAGTTTTAGAAAAACTTGTACCGAGCTATGAAGTGTTTGCGGTAAAAAGGAAACGATATATTTCCAATGTGAAACTAAGCGTACTTTATGTTGCATCACATTTCATTAAACTGTAAAGACTTAAATGAAAATCAATAATTGAAAACAGTACATCATTTCTTAGCTTGTTATAATTCTGAATGATTTCCTGCGAATCACATTTTATACACTTTGGGGGTGCATTCTGTACTGGATCCTTTTTTCACTTTTCATTTTCCAGTGACCCTTTTAAAAAATCATTTTTTTTTTATTAGTCAAACTTTAAAGTGTAACAAACAAAGTTTATTGATATATTACAAAAGAATCTAAATGAATTACAATATGTATTGTTGTATTGTATTATTAAGTAGATATTATCGCCTTTCCCAGCACCTAAAGTCGTCTATCTTAGAAGTACCTCAGTATTATTATTAACAATTAGATTGAAGATATATAAATCCATTATTTCTGTGATTCTTTTTTTTTATTTTACAGGAGACGCTATGTTAGACACAGATTACCCCGATCACTTTGATCTGTCTGTGATGTCATTCTCCACCCCAGACTGGGACGATGGCAGATTGACTGCAGATGACTGTTGTGTCTATTTATATTGTTATAGTATTGTATTTCAGGAGACAGCATGATAAGCTATGATCTGTCTGGGATGTTCTTCTCCACCCGGACAGAGATAACGACGGGTCCCCTGGTAACTGTGCTGCTCACAGTTACATTAGGGGAGGGTGGTGGTTTAACTGGTGTCATTGGGCCTTCCTTAACGGTCAATGGTCCCAAGGAGGAATTATGGGAAAACCCATGGTATCCCACAGTACCGAATGGGACGTCGGTGAAGGGAACCACCATGATGATAAAGCGACAATAGGTAAAACTCATTAAATCATAATAGCAAGTTGTTTTTTTGTATTACTGTGAAAATTTCAGTTATAATTTTTTTTATATAGAAAAAAATATGCATTATACATGTATCTGTGAAGTATTAATTTGATTTTTTTTAACAGATGAAAGCTCATCCATGGATTATGCAAACCCTCAAGAGACTATTTTAAATTATTTTTTAAAAAATATTAAACATCAAGTAACAAACATGTAAACAAAGATGTTTTCGGTAAAGGAAGGGTTGTTGAACTGTTCTATAAAGCAATACTGAAAGCATTCAGTAAAAGATGTACTTTATATGTGTTGTAATAAATTTGAAATAAGAAATATTTCGTTGTTATTTACAAACACTGGTAAATGAAGATGTCCGGACGAAGAATTAGGATGAATATTACTTTATTGTTAAGCCTCTTATAGTGGAACCTGTTTAATCCGACACAAGTGCAGAACGCTTTACTGTGGTTTCTGCCATTTAATTTCATTTCTAATTTCTACTTATGTCAATGATCTTTATACGCTGCAATATTACACCTTTTTTTATTCCGAAACATACATTTGTAATCTCCTTCCCCGTGCATGTCGGATAAGACAGGTTTCATTGTAATAAAGATGTTAAGAAGTTTATAAAAAAAACAGAGGTATATTTGATGGTCATGTTTTGTAGTACACTACATCTAAGATTATACTTCTCTCTAAAAACATAACCTCATCTTTTTCCACCCATGCAGTATTTTAAATGGATGAACATTTATTATCCTTTAATCTACTTAAAACCGCTTAAATTGAAATTATTATTTTTAATATCATAGAGAAAATAAGCTAAATAGTTGAAGTGAGACGTACTAAATATTTCTTTCCACAAATCTCATTATACCATAAATAAATTTAGATTGCTTGAATTTTAGGTGTGGCAAGTAACGAAATGATTCTAGATTATTAGCTTAAATAAAAAAAAATATTTTTTTGAAGATCAATATTTTTATTGCTTCAGATAATCATTTAAAAATCAGATGTTTCTGCTCTTGAATTCAGAAAATACGTCATCGTAGACCGTAGATCAATACTGTTATTTTTATTGTTTTATTTTTATTTCAAAACACCATAACACACGTTGGGGGTCAAAAGGTTACAATGTGTAAGTATTGTTATATGCGAGAATCAAAATTTAAAATTGTTATTTATGTTGTGAGGTGTGTTGTATTTGTATTGTTTCATCATGTCTATTATTAGTAACATTAAGTTTCTTGAACATTCCAGAGTGGTCAACATGTTCGGTCATTGTTTCTAGAACATTCCTGAACTTTGTGTATGTCCAGAACTTTCCAGTAATATCATGTACTTACAACTTCTAGAATATTCTAGATTTATAATACTGTATAAATACCCTGTCAATTCGATGCATAGAGATATTGTCATATAAGCATCATTGAGGTATTACTGGGATATATTTTCACTGGGACATTGTGTGCAGCAACGGACACTCTGATGTATGTATTCTTAGATTCTTGCTAAGTTTGTACTTTATGTTTCATATACTTATTATATATTACTGTAAATAAATTATTGTTAAGTTTAAATTGTGTTATTGATCTTTGCTGGCATTTCGGGTAATTCTGACCCATAACAGAATTGGGGGCTCGTCCGGGATAAAGAATTTCTTGCACTTTTGCAGTTTATTGTCAAAATTTTGTTAATTGAACCATTACATTTGATTATAAGCCAGCAGAAATCAACATGGTATTTTCGGTCACAGACTTTCTTAATTCGCCAAGTGTTCAGGTTTTTGATACATTAAAAAAGGATGACTTGATCGCGTTAGGTTTGCATCTTGGGTTAGAGGTTAAATCTTCACAGAGAAAGCAAGACATTAGAATAAAGATTGCAAACAAACTAGTTGAAGAAAACATCTTTGGAAAAAATGATCTTCCAGATTATACACTTAAATCAGAATCTTATAATATGTCAGAATTTCAGTATCAAGTAGAGTTGGAAAAAATGAGATTTGAAGAACGAGAGCGTGAACGGAAATTTGAATTAGACAAATTAGAAAGAGAAAGAGAAGAGCGAGAAAGAGAAAGACAAGAGCGAGAAAGAGAGCGTGAAATGAACTTTGAATTAGAGAAATTAAAATTACAGAACCAACTAGGACCGTCAGTTGTCAAAACTGAATTTGACGCAGCAAAAAATATCAGATTAGTTCCAAAATTTCAAGAAAAATCTGTAGATAAATATTTTCCCCAATTCGAAAAAGTCGCAGAGAATCTTAAATGGCCACGAAATGTTTGGTCAACGATGTTACAAAGTGTACTGGTTGGAAAAGCGGCTGAGGTATACTCTGCACTAGGGGTAGTTGAGAGTTCAGACTATGAGAAGGTCAAATCAGCAATATTAAAAGCCTATGAATTAGTACCTGAAGCGTATAGACAAAAGTTCAGAAAGTATAGAAAGTTTGATAATCAAACATTTGTTGAATTTTCACGAGAGAAAGAAGATTTATTCGATCATTGGTTTAGATCTAAGAAACTTGATAAAACTTTTGATAATTTGCGCCAAGTCATCCTGGTAGAAGAGTTTAAGGAATGTGTTTCTCAAGATTTGAAAACACATTTAGAAGATAAGAATGTGAAAACTCTTGAAGAGGCAGCAGTCATATCTGATACTTATGCTCTGTCTCATAAAAAGAATTTTGTATCAAGAACTCAGACTAGCAGTAATTCTACCAATTCAGACACATATAAAAAGAGTGGTTCAGGGTCTCAGTCTTTCACAAGTTCCCAGTCTCCATCCCAAGGTGGTTCTAAGTCCGGTCCAGGACGTTTTGAAGGATCTTCTGGAATAGGGTCGCTTCCTACTTGTAGTTATTGTAAGAAAAAGGGTCATCTGATCAGTGAATGCTTTAAACTTAAGAGAAAAAATGATTTTGATAAAACTCAACCACATGCTTGTGCGGCAGTTAGAGGTGATAGAGAAGCCTTAGTTTCGATTTGTTCTGACACTCCTGATGTCCAGGGTTCACAGTCCAGTGCTATTGATTCTATGGAGGATTATAAGCCCTTTATGTCTCAGGGATTTGTTTCACTCGGTGACTCTAGCGAAATAAAACCTGTCCAGATTTTGAGAGATACTGGTGCTGCACAGACATTATTGTTAGAGGGCGTGCTTCCTTTGTCTGAGCAGACTTCTACTGGTGGGTCAGTTTTATTACAGGGTGTGGAGCTAGGCGTCATTGATGTTCCCTTGCATAGAATTAGTTTGAAGTCAGATTTAGTTACTGGACCAGTTATCGTAGGTGTTCGACCTACTCTTCCCGTTCCAGGCATTTCTTTGTTGCTAGGCAACGATTTAGCTGGTGGAAAAGTTGTGCCAGATCCTATAGTTTGTGAGAAAATCACTCCAGATGTCATGTGCGACGATGAAGATGATGACATTTATCCAGCCTGTGCTGTTACTAGAGCGATGGCCAGAAGACGAGAAATGGAGGCAGACCATACTCAAGCCTTTGACGAGACGAATTCCTCTGTTGATATTGATTTGAATGACACTCTCTTATCTGACCTTAATGACACTCAAACAAACATGGAACCACACAATATCAAGAAGTCGGTGACGAAGGAACCTTTATCAAAATTTAGTGGTAATGAAGATAAGTCAAATCTACCAGAAAGCCAAGGCAAGGACATCCTCAGCCGAGAACGTTTACTCTCTGAACAATATAAAGACCCAGATATCATTCAACTTAGTAAGAGGGCACTTCCACCAGAAGAGGCTACTAAAGTTGGAGAATGCTTCTATATGAAAGATGGCATCCTTATGCGAAAATGGCGACCACCTGACGCTTCCCCAGATGAAGTGTTGCGTGTTGTTCACCAGATAGTGGTCCCAGCTGCTTATCGTCGAGATGTCATGAGTTTAGCTCACGATACACCTATGGCTGGTCATTTAGGTATCAATAAGACTTATAATAGGATTTTGAGTCATTTTTATTGGCCTAAACTAAGGAAGGATGTTTCTGAGTTTTGTAAGTCGTGTCATGTCTGTCAGATGGTAGGTAAACCGAATCAGAAGATACCATCCGCCCCTCTCCAACCAATTCCAGCTTTTGAAGAACCGTTTAGTCGAGTGTTGGTGGATTGTGTAGGACCTTTGCCTAGGACCACATCTGGGAACCAGTATTTACTTACCATTATGTGTACATCCACTCGATTCCCCGAAGCCATACCTCTTAGGAATATAAAGGCAAAGAGCATAGTTAAGGCCCTAACCAAGTTCTTCAGTTTTGTAGGAGCACCAAAGGCAATTCAGTCGGATCAAGGCTCAAATTTTATGTCGGGGTTGTTCCAGCAAGTCATGCATGAGTTGGGTATAAGGCAGTATAAATCAACTGCTTATCATCCTGAGTCCCAGGGAGCGCTAGAACGTTTTCATCAAACCCTAAAAACAATGCTAAAGACCTATTGTTACCAGTATGAAAAAGACTGGGATGAAGGGGTTCATCTTGTACTATTTGCTGCACGAGAGGCAGTCCAGGAGTCTCTTGGGTTTAGTCCTTTTGAATTGGTGTTTGGTCATACGGTTAGGGGTCCTTTGAAATTGTTGAAGGAAAAGTGGCTGACTGAGACTAGTGATCTTAATCTTTTAGATTATGTGTCTGATTTCAAAGAAAAACTTTACAATGCTTGTAAATTAGCACAAGAAAATTTGAAGAGTTCTCAGATGAAAATGAAAATGTGGTATGACAAAGATGCCAGAAATAGGGTGTTTAAGCCAGGTGATAAGGTTCTTGTATTTTTACCTATTCCTGGTCATCCTTTACAGGCCAGATTTTATGGCCCTTATGAAATTGAAAGCAAGATCAGTGATGTTAACTATGTAGTTAAGACACCAGGTCGACGTAAAGAGAAACGGGTTTGTCACATTAACATGTTAAAAGAGTATTTTGAAAGGTGTGACCGAAATTCTGTAAAACCAGTTTCCACTTTAGCCAAT